CGCCGCGGGCGCCGCGGCCGCGCCGGCCGCCGCGGCGGCGGGCTCGGGGCTGCCCAAGGTCGTGCACTTTGCTGTGGAGCAGGGCGTCCCCGGCTACCTCGGGCTGTCGTTCCCGCAGGTCCAAGGCAGGATGTTCCCCGCGACGGCCGTGATCGGCCGCCCCGGGGAGGCGCAGCCCGTCGGCGTCTACGCTCTCAAGGCATACAGGGTCGATCCCTCGGACGCGGTCGCAGGCTTTGCGACTAACCTCGGATTCTCCGCCAGCCCCAACGGCGTGAAGACCCTCTGCTTCACAGTGCCAGCCAAGGACAGCGCCGCGCCCGCCGCGGGCCGGCGGCGCCTGCGGCAGCAGGCGGGCGCGCCTGCGGGGGCCGTCGACGTGTCCGGGCCGCTCAACGTGAATTGGGCGCACGGCGCCAGCTCAGCGCTCGCCGTGCACACCGACAAGGGCAGCGCGGTCCTGTCGCTGCAGGGCGGCGGCGCCGCGGCCGCGGGCGCCGGCGGCCCGTCCGCCGAGCGCGCGGCCGCCGTGCTGATTGCGCACGGCGCGCTGATGGCGGCGGCGTTCCTCCTGCTCATGCCCGCGGCCGCGATCGCCGCGCGCCACAAGTGGCTGTCAGGCGCGCCGGACGCCACCGTCGGCGGCCGCGTGCGCGGCGGGTGGTTCCAAGCGCACCGCAGTATGCAGATCCTGGCCCTCATGGCGGCGATCACCGCGTTCATCGTAATCTTCCAGACAAACGGCTGGCTGCCCGGCGGCCCCGGCTTTGAAATCTTCTCGGCGCACCGCGCGCTCGGCATTGCCACGTTCGCGCTGGCGCTGGCGCAGGGCGCCCTCGGCGCCGCGCGCCCGGCGCTGGGCGCGGCGCCGTCGCCGCGGCGGCTGCGCTGGTACGGCGCGCACGCGGGGCTCGGGTGGTCTGTGATCGCCCTCGGGACCGTCACCTGCTACCTCGGGATCGCGACGCTCTCAACCTTGGGCACCACGCAGGACGTCATGTCAGCATGGCTGGGCCCCGCGCTCGCGGTCACCAGCACGCTGCTGCTGCTCGGCGGTGCCCTCGAGCTCCGCAAGTGGCGGCTGCAGGCGAGCGGGCGCTACGACCCGCTGACTCATCAGGTGCACGCGCCGGGGCACGTCGGCAAGGCCGGCATCCCGATCACCGCCGCCGCGCCCGCGGGCGCCGCGGCGTGAGGGCGCGGGCGCGGAACCACCGGTGGTGGGTGTTTGTGGGTGCTTCCTCCCGCGCGCCGCGCCGCGCCGCGCCGGCCGGCGCGAATGATTCGAGTCAACGAGCGCCGTCGTCCGACGGCTGCCACTGCACATTATGGACCGCTGCGCGGCCTCTCGCGCCCGCCTTCCTCTTTTTCATTCACACTTGCATGAGCGAAACCGTTGCATTCTGCGTTGAAAGTTGTGTTCGGTTGGCAACACAAACTGTGGATGCCTCGGAGGTTGGATCCCACTTGTGACATGTGCGATGTGGGTGTGTGTACAACTCGGGCGCTTTGACGGGATTCTTCCTTCTGACACTTCCTTTCTGGAACTAGTGACCCCACACCTAATGATGCTTTGCTTTGGAACCGTGGCGGCACGGGCGGCTGCGAATGCGACTTCGACCCAAGGGACCAGCGGCAACAGCTGCACTTGCTTGACTTGCACAGACCCGCGTTGCTCACGCCGGCTGCTGTTGCGCCCGGTGCATTTCACCATCTGCCCGCCTCCGCTTGCGGCCCGAACCTTTTTTCGGGCGGTCTGCTGTAAGCTTGAAAGGCCGCGTGACTGTGCGTAACGCAGCCGGCACCACCCATCTCACCACCCCCAGGTGATGGCAACGAAGCCGCGTGATGGAGCTCCCCATGCAAGCGGCAGCTGCGCTTAGCAAGCCGCCCAGCGCACTGTGACCCGACCATGACTGTCCCAACAGTAGTGTGCCCAAGCTGCAGGGAACGCGGATGACTCACGCAGGAACCTGGATTAGAATTAGGATTAGGATTCTTACAAGATACCGTGGTCGCCCGCTCTTGGAGCTATCCAGGCTCATGGGCTATAACTGGGTAGCATCAGCATTGTGTGACAGGGATTCAAGTGGCCGCTGTTCGCCGTTCAAAGCAGGCGTGCACAAAGGCACCAAGTGTATGCTGGTTTGCACTGCGCACAAGGGCGCGCATGCGGGCATGCGCAGGCATTCGGGCACTGTGCCTGTGCGCTTTCTGTCTACAATTGCTACAACTACACCAGGGCCTGTCTCCTCAGATCCTGCATTCCTACGACTCCTAGAGACAAGGTCAAAAGCATCAGCGTGATCAAAAGCCCTCAATCGAGCGTAGTGTCGCGCAAAGCATGGAAGCAGGCAGCAAGGAAGCAAAGCGCATGTAAGGTGGCGGCGGGACGCACCGTACCGTGAAAGACAGCATCCATCAAGCAAAGCGTTGAAGGCCATGGGACAAGCCACACCAGTCAGTGGGGATGGAGGATCTGGAATGTGTCCAGGAGCGGGCGAATGTGGAATGTGGACGCTGCCAAATTCCAAATGATTCACCTAAACCTGCCCACCCGAAGCAGGAATGCATTTGCTGCTGCGGAAAGCAGGACATGTTGACGGGGCTAACGGTGCACTACATGAGCGAGGTGCAGGAGGTTGGGGGCAACGGCAAGGCAGCACGCCGCCCGCCGCTGCCGCTGCCGCTGCCGCTGCGACCAAGCTGGGGTTGGGCGAAACAAGCCAAGTACAGTCGCTATGGCCGCCGCACCACCCTGGCCATTGGATGCCGGTGGTGCAGCGTTGGCGGGGGCCGACCAGCCGCCGCCCGCAGGCTGCAGCGCCCATCGCGACGGCTACGGACGGCAGCAGCCAGCAGCTTTCTTGGCGCGCAGCCTCCACATGCGCGGCAGCTGCCGCTGCGCTGCGCATCAGGGGGTCCGACGCATTGCCCCGCAAGGAAGGTAAGAGCCGAGCGGATCAGCCAAGGGACTCTGGTGCGAATGCGCGTGTGTAGCGCAACCAGCGGGCACCCTACAGGCCCGCGGGGGCGCGCCGAGATCACACATAGATGCCCGCATGCGCCAGCAGGGCCGTGCGTCGCTGGGGCAAGCCGCCAGCGGACGAGCCGGCAGGCAGGCCGTACAGCGACAGCATGCCGTCCACCACGGGCGCTGTCGCCTCCTGCACCTCGTCCCCCGTGGCGGGCAGCGGCTGGCCCGCGATGTGCGCAGGCATGGCGCCGCCGCCGTGGTGCGGCCACTGGATGGGGACGGCACCCAGGAGGACGCTGCTGCAGCACACGCCGTTGCGCTGGCGTGCGCCCAGGGTCTGCACATCCTGCCGCAGCCCCGACAAACTCTGCTGCAGCCCCGCCATATTCTGCTGCAGCCCCGCCACGTCATGTTGCAGCTGAGTCAGAGTTCGGTGGATCGGCTGCAGCGCCGCCTGCACGATCGTCCCCAGCTGCGCCGTTACAGCCTGCTGCACCGCCGGCTGGACGTGTTGCTGCACCGCCTGGGCGACCCTGTAATCGATGGCATCATCCAGCAACTGGCCCACCTGGGCAAAGTCTGCCATCTATTTGCACAAGGACGGGCGGGGCGACCGGGTCGGAGGGGGGAGGGGAGAATGGCATGATGCAGGGTCAGGGATGCAGAGCTTGACGGCTCGAACGCTGGGCCGCATGGCAGCTGCCCTGTGGGCCTGGCGTGTCAGCACGGGTGCTCTGGCGACTGCACCTGGCAGTGCAGTGCAGCCTGCCCACTGAAGGCCACAAACAGCAGTGTCGCGCGCCGCGCGATTGCCGTGCGCGCCGTGCGCATGCGCTGCGCCAAGTGCCCTCCACGCGCACATGCCGCCCTGATGCATGCAACTCCCCCCTGAAGCTGCACCCACCACGCGTGCCCTCACGAAGCTGCAGCCCTTGGCCCAAGGGCAGCTGTCTGTCCAGGGAGTGCGTTGGCTACCGTTCAACGCGGAAGGACGGCTAATAGCGTAACACTATTGATTTTGATACGTTAGTTATGAGTGTATGATACGATAGCGAACGCAGCGGCGATAGGCAGTGATCTGACAGATGGCTAGCGCGCAGGTGTGCTGACACGTCACTTGTGTCACAACGACAGGAGAGAAGCGGCAGAGTCCAAGCCTTTCCGCGCGCATTTCGAACTGGCAACCTACCTAACAACTAGTCTAGAAGGGCAAGTACTGGCATTCATGTTCAGCTGAGCTCCACTGCAGATCTGCACATTCTGCAGATCTCCTGGGCTAGACACTGTCACCACTTGGCAGTGCGCAGGCCTACACACATTCTTTTGGCAGAGCCCGTTGCAGCTAGAGCTTGGCCAGCATCCCGTACAGCCTGCAGTGCTGCCCCAAGCAAAGCCAGCACCAGCGGCATGCCACCCAGCGCTCCTCGCGGCGCCGGGCAAAGTGCCGTCGCTGTTGCGTAAGCTGCCTGGGCGGCTGCTCTGATCCTGCCCCTCCCCGCGGCCAAGATGAACCTCCTACGGGATGTCATGGCTGCGTTTGAACGGGTGCCTGCAGACACGCCGCTGCCCCCAGCCCTGCTGGAACGGCTCATGCGGCAGCTGCCCCAGGCGGGCGGCGTCGCGTCCCTGTACGCTTTCAACATGGCAGTCCTGAAGGGCGACCTGGCAACCAACGCGCACGCGCGTCAGGTGCGTTGGGGCGCGACGCAGCACGACCCGCGCGCCTGGCCCAGCCTGTATCGCATCAAGTCCCTCGAGCAGCCACGCAACCGCACGCAGCCGGAGCTGCGCCGCTGCTCATCACCTTCCGCTTCAACAAACTCGCAGGCTGCCCTGCACCCGGGATTCGTCCAGGCCGTGATCGCGCATGGCACAAAACACCCAGGCAACGACGCCTCGCGCGCGGCAGCAGGCTCCGTCCTGGCCCTGCTCGCCCACACGTGCGATGAGGCGCGCCGCTTGGTGGCGGCGCAGGGTGACGTCACCGTCGATCTGATGCTGAGCAGTCTGCGGGAAGTATGCGACACGATCTGCACCGCCGACGGCGGCGGCATCCGCGGAACCCTGCAGCTCCGCACGCTTTCTGTTCTCCTTGCCGTCAAGGAGCAGGGCGGCGCGCCGGCCGAGCGCGCGATGCGCGACCCGCACGCGCTCCTTGTCGCCGTGCAGCTGTGCGGCCCCAGATTTGCCGACGCCGACGGGGGCCGCGGGCCGGCCCTGCGGTATCTCCTGGACGCGTTCACGCCGCCCCGGGGCGACCTGTCATGCGCGGCATGGCTTGACCTGCCCGCCCGCCAGCCGCCCGTGGCCGAGGCCCCCCTGCTGATGCACCTGGTCCCGCACTTTGCCGGCCTGCTGCTCGCGCCGGACGTGCCCGGTGACGCGCGGGTGGGGCTGGTGATGCTTGCCTACCGCCTGCTGCGCACACCTGGCCTGAGCCCCGTCATAACAGGTGCGCCGTGGCGCACGCAGCACCGCCTTGTGAACGCCGCCCTGCACGCCTGCGCGCGGCGGTGCACGTCTTGCGGCTTGTATGGTGGCGTTTGTCGGCACCACCATTCCAAATTGAGTCCAATCGCCCAAACTGATCAACCCTTGCATCACCCCACCTGCCTCCGGCTCCCACATTCCCTCGCGTCTCTTAGCAGCACACCTGGCTGCCGACGGCGCCGTGCCGGCGCTGTGCCGGCTGGCACTGCAGCAGCTGCGGCTCGCGCGCTGCGACCCTGCATCGGCGCGCGACCTCGAACTCACTGCCAGGCTGCTTAGGCAGGCGGCCTGGTTCCCGCTGCTGACCGAGCACCTTGCGCAGCACGCGCTGCCGGCGCTGCTGGCGGTGCTGCGCGACGCGCCTGTCGCAGGCGGGGCCGAGGCCGGGGCCGAGCGCGGGCCGCAGCTCGCGGCGCAGGCGCTCCTCGTTATTCTGCGCGCCAACCAAGGGGAGCACGGCCCTGGCCCAGAGTTCGTGAGGCTGGCTGTGACTTCTCCGGCGACGCTCGATGCGGTCGCTCGCTTGCTGGAGGGCGCGGCGGCCGCCTGGCGCACGGCTGGGGTCCCCTGGGCGGACATGCGCATCGCCGCGGGCCTTGCTGTCAAGCTGGCGGAAGAGGCGCAGCCCGGCGACCAGTGGCGCCGCGCCGTCGGCGGCCTCTTGCCCGCCGCTGCGCGCTCGCTGCAGCACGTGGCCGACGGCGTCATGAGCGCCACGCGTGGCGGCACGGGCGCTGGCGACGCGCGCGGCGAGCTGCGAACGGCGTGCTTGACGCTCCTTCTCCTCGTGGCAGACCTGACGCAGACGCTGGTGCCGGTTGGCATGCCGGGCACGCCTGAGGACCCGGGGCCGATGGCCGTGGCCCTTGAAGCAGCCCCAGCGCTGCTTGACACCCTGGGGTCGCTGATTGCCTCTGAGTGGTGGACAGCGGAGGTGGACGGGCTGCCGTCGCCTGCAGCAGTGGTTGCGGGCGCTCCACACACTGCTTGTGGTGAAGTTCCTCCTTGTGAGCAGCTGTTGCAGCGCGTGCGGCAGCACGCATCACGTCAGGGGCTAGCGCCATCAGGCCGGCAGGGGGCGGAGCACGGCGCGGGGCGGCAGCAAGCACCGCAGCAGCCCAGCCAGCGGCAGGTGCCGCCAGGTCAGCGGTGTTCAGACAGCAGCATGGAGGCAGCAGCAGGAGCAACGGCAGCGATGGCAGCAGCAACAACAACAGCAGCAGGAGGCACAGCAATGGCACCAGGGGCCTCGGCATCTGCAGCGGCTGCCCCTGCGGCGGCTGCTGATGACACTGCTACAGCGACGTCGGCGTCAGCGGTGCAGGTGTCGGGGGCAGCAGGAGCGCAGCTGCTGCGTCCGCCTGCAGCCCAGCGAGAGGGGCCAGCAGGCGCGGCCCCCGCTCGCCCACCCCCAGCGAGCCCGCCGAGGCTCGCTACGTGCTGCTGCTGCGCGGCTTGCGGGAAGCAGGCGGAGCGCGACGGCGTGCGCCTGCGGCTGCGCCGCGGCTGCCGGGCTGTGTCGTACTGCTCTGTCGAGTGCGCTAGCGCGGACTGGAAGGGGGGCCACCGCACCTCTTGCAAGGCGGCGCAGGCGGAGAGGGCGGCGTCCGGCGTGAGCGCTGCCCAGCCAGCCGCAGCCAGCTCAGGGTCGGCGTCAGGGGGAGCAGGGAGGGCTGCAGGGTGATGCTGATGGTTGAAAAATGCTTGAACTCCTCACTGTGCATCATGCAGGTTTCTTGAGGCGTTGCGTTCACATTATGAACTTACATCACCAAGTGACCTGAGCAGGCCAGAGGCTCTGCAACACCGAAAATCATCCTCTCATCAATGCCAAATGCAGAGTAAAGTTACATATCATGTGTGCTGCTGCTGCTCTTGCGGCCGTTGCTGCTGCTGCTGCTGCTGTGGCTGCTGCTGCTGTGGCTGCTGCTGCTGCTGCTGCTGCTGCTGCTGCTGCTGCTGCTGCTGCTGCTGCTGCTGCTGCTCCTCCTCCTCCTGCGCCTGCTGCTGCGGCTGCTGCTGCTGGTGCTGCTGCTGGTGCTGCTGCTTCTCACGCGGCGATAGATATTCCCCCTTGAGCAGCGACATGAACAGCGGCCCCTGCAGCAGCTGCCCCGCCACGATGGACACATAGAACTGCCGCCGTCCCTGCCCGGGCACCTCGCAGTTCACCGGGAACATCAGCTGCTTGCAGATGTGCTCCATCGCCTTGCGGGGCATGTTCCTGAACGGCGGCGCGAGGCCGCCCCTGATGGGCACGTCCACGTCCTCGCGGTTGCCCCACACGTCAAGCACCGAGAAGCGCAGCGTGTCGCGCGCCGGCTCCAGCAGCGACAGCTCGCCAACGTAGCGGCGCCCATAGTACCTTGGCGG